GAAAATTTTCTTGTCGTCGGAGCGAGTAGGGAGGGGAAGGGAGAGGGAGAGAGGGAGGGAGGGGTAAGAGTCGGGGGGGAGAAGGGGGTGGAGGTTGAGGGTGTGTTTGACGGAAAGGAGAGGTTGCCGTGTTTTTGTTCGTTTGTTTGTTTGCAAGGGAGGGAGGGAGGGAGGGAGGGAGGGAGGGAAGGGACCTAGAGGAGAGGAGGAGGGGGGGGGTGAAGGTCCTTAAGACGTCGGGGTTTTCACGTGAAAATTTTCTTGTCGTCGGAGCGAGTAGGGAGGGGAAGGGAGGGAGGGAGGGAGGGAAGGGACCTAGAGGAGAGGAGGAGGGGGGGGGTGAAGGTCCTTAAGACGTCGGGGTTTTCACGTGAAAATTTTCTTGTCGTCGGAGCGAGTAGGGAGGGGAAGGGAGGGAGGGAGGGTCGAGGGGTCGTGGCTCATTATAGATGCTCACTTTTTCCCTTTACAAACGGTGATGCAACTCTCCGCACGGCACTCAATGTAGTAATTATCTCTTTAAATGACTACGGTATGCACGCGCGCGCCTTCAGAACCCCGGAGGCCGAGAGGATGCGTTCGGAGGGCCTGCCTATCGCGCTCGGCATCCGCTCTGTAGCAACAACTTGCTGCTAAGGCGTAATGAAGGGGGGTAGTAGTTCCTTTATTGAAGTTAGAAATACGTTATGACTGAGAAAGTCTTCCTCCAAGTGTTGAAATTCCTCGTGTTGCGTTGAATTAGAGAGAGACAAAAAAAGGGAAGAAAAAGAAATACATATATCAATAAATAGATAAAAGAAACACATATATTAGTGAATAAATAAATAAACTAAAAGAAAGCAGGAGATACAAGAGACGAAGATTCAAGATAAAGGAAATGAAAAAAAAACTTAGGGGAAAGAAAACATAAGAAGAAATAATAAGAAAATATGAAGATACAAGAAACGAAATGAAAAAAAAAAACTTCGGTTAAGAAAAAAAAAAAATAAGAAAAACATGAACATACAAGAAGCGAGATAAAAAAAAGAAAAAAAGAAAAAAAAACTAATAATAATAAGATACAAGAAACGAGAAAAAAATCTTACGGGAAAGTACCAAACAGACAAAAAACAAAAAAACAAAAAACAAAGACACATTGGCGAAATATTAGTGACACAGAGTCCGCTTTAAACTCCCTTTGAAGGCTTCTGCAGTCCAGCCTTCCGCGGTACTGACCTCAGCCCATTCCTAATTTCTCTCCATTCCCATTCCTGGAACCGACGGCGAACGTGCGCTTGTGTGCGTGTGCGTGTGTGTACGTGTGTGTACTCGTTCAGCGTCGATGGTGAGGAATTCTGGTGGATTTGAGTTCGTTGTGTATCGTTGGGTAGGCCTGTCGGTGTACCTGTTTCGTTGTTTGATTTGTTTTGATTGTGTTTTGCTTGTAGTTTTATGCGTTGTATTTTTATTTGTTTTTAATTTTGATTGTTTAGGTAGTTTTGTGTGTGTTTTTTTTGTAATTTTTGTTTTTGTTGCTTGATTTTTTTGTGTATATATGTATTTGTTTTGGTTCTTTATGACGTGGTTATAGTTCTTTGTTATTTGTTTTGGTTGTTATAAATTCAGATTTTGTCTTGTTTTTTGTTTATTGTGATTTTCTTTCGTTAGTCTTTATTGTAGCTTCTTTTAGCTGTTGTTTTTTGTTATAATTTTTTAATTTGTTATGGACATTTTTTCGGTTATTTTCCATTGTTGACTGATTTTCTTGATTGTTTTGTGATTAATGAATGTGAGTGAGTTTGGAGATTTATTTTTTGTCATTTTTGTTAGGAGTAGGTTTTCATTTTCTTGTTTTCGTGATAAAGTATGTAATCTCTCTCTCTCTCTCTCTCTCTCTCTCTCTCTCTCTCTCTCTCTCTCTCTCTCTCGCTCGCTCTCTCTCTCTCTCTCTCTCTCTCTCTCTCTCTCTCTCTCTCTCTCTCCCTCTCTCTCCCTCTCTCTCTCTCTCTCTCTCTTATTTTCTGACTTACTCTCACTGTCGCCTTCCCTCCCTCTCTCTCCTTCCCCCATTCCTTTCCCCCTCCCTCCCCCATCCTCCATTCCTCTCTCCGTCTTCTTCTCCTTCACCTCCTCCCACTTCTTCCTCTCTCTCCGTCTCTCTCTCCTTCTCCTTTTCTCTCTCTCCTCACTCAGGCTCTCCACTCTCTCTCCTTCCTCTGCCTCTCCTTTTCCGTCTCCTCCCTCATCCTCTCCGCCTTCTCCCTCTCCTCCCTTTTTTCTTCCTCTCCGTCTTCTCTCTCTCCCTCTTTTTCCTTCTCCCTTTTTCTTCCTCTCCCTCTCTTCCTCCCTCTCCCCCCTTACCCACGCGTCTAGTTCGTGTTGCCCCATCCGGAAATGCGGACCCCCTCCTCCCCCCTCCCCCCCATCTCTCTCTCTCTCTCTCTCTCTCTCTCTCTCTCTCTCTCTCTCTCGAAAACACCATTTCCGTTTCCGAAATCCTTTTTATGCTGTTGTCGAGGTGTTGCTTATTAATGTGCCGATCCGAGAAATAATTATGGTTCGTTTGCCTTTGTTTCGGCCGTGATTGTGTTTTTTTTTTTTTTTTTTTTTTTTTTTTTTTTTTTTAGATTGCTGGTGTTGATATGGGAGAGTTGGTTCTTTTTTTGTGTGTGTGATTTTTTAGTGATTTTTTCTTTCTTTTAAGATGTGGATATATGTGGATGTATACATTGTATACATTGGGGGGGAGGGGGAGAGAGAGAGAGAGAGAGAGAGAGAGAGAGAGAGAGAGAGAGAGAGAGAGAGAGAGAGAGAGAGAGAGAGAGAGAGAGAGAAGAGAAGAGAGAAGAAAGAAAGAAAGAAAATAAATAAGAAAATTAAATCGAGACTTAAAAGGTATACACATAACACACTGAAAACAAAATCTGCATACACCATCTTACTCATCTACACACACACACACACACACACACACACACACACACACACACACACACACACACACACACACACACACACACACACACACACACACACACACACAATTCCTCAATGACACAAGACCAGATAAACGATAAAACGAAATATAAAAAAATAGAAAAAATAATAAAAAAGCAGTGTATATGCGCGGGTTTTCTTAAGCGAATCCAAGACGAAGGTGGAGATGTGCCGCGACCTCGTTTCTGGTGACGTCATCACGCCAGGGCACTCCGCCGGGGATGATGTCATAGGGAGGAGAGAGGGAGGGAGGGAATAGAGAGAGAGAGGAAGGGAATAGAGATAGAGAGAGAGAGAGGAAGGGATAGAGAGAGAGAGAGGAAGGGATAGGGAGAGAGGGAGGGGATAGAGAGGAATAGAGGGAATAGTGATAGAGAGAAAGAGGAAGGGAATAGGGAGAGAGAGAGAGAGAGGAAGGGGGAGAATAGGAATAGAGGGAGGGGATAGAGAGGAAGAGAGGGAATGGAGGGAGAGGAAGGGGATAGGGATAGAGAGAGAGAGGAAGGGAGGGAATAGGGATAGAGAGGAAAGGAGGGGATAAGGATAGAGAGGAAGGGAGGGTTAGGGAGAGAGGGAGGGAATAGGGGTATAGGGAGAGAGAGAGGAGAGAGGGAAGAGAGAGAGAAGAAAAGAGAGGACCACAAGAAGTGAGAGGAAAAAATAAAAGGAGAGAGAGAGAGAGAGAGAGGGTGATGAGGAGGGAGGGGGGGAGGCCAGCAGGGTACAAGGGCCAGGAATAGTGGCACACTCACTACTCAGGCCCGCGAAAGTCTCCCCCCTCCCTCCCTCCTCCAACCCCCTCCCTCCCTCTCTCTCTCTCAGACCCCAACCCCCTCATTCTCTCCCTCCCCTCCCCCTCCCCCTCCCCGCCCCTCCATCGCACCTGCTGCCTTACCTGACCAGTTTGCTTCCGAATTGGCCTGTTTGGGAACATTAAACAAGGTTGTTCGGTTGTTGGAGCTCGTAATAAGGTGGTTCGGTTGTTAGATCGTGTAATAAGGTGGTTGGGTTGTTTATTTTCGAGTTTTTTTTTTCTTTTTTGTTAGTTTTATTTTCTTTTTTTGGTAGTTTTTTTTTTTTAATTGTTGATTTTTTTATTTCTGTTATTTATTTATTTATTTATTTATTTTTCTAAGTGATCTCTTATATTCATTTAAGGCATTTTTGTTCTTGTTGGTAGCTTTAAAGTAGTGTTATAATTTTGTTCTACGGTTTTCGGGTACTTAGCATATTAAAAAAAGAAATATGTTCATTGACTTTGGTCTGATATTTGAGTCGTTATAGATTAATTGACAATTTTGATTTAGTCTCTGTTTTCTTTTAAATTTATTGACCTCAGTCGTTATTTTTTCGTATCAGAAATTAACTGAAATATGTCAGTTTTGTTTATTAATTTATTTTGTTCTTGAGGTCTAAAAATATTTATGACGTTATTATTCATTTATTTATTTTGCTTTTAATTTTCCTTTTTAGGGGGAATGCGTTGCTTCCATATTTTTGTTAGATTAGGCATTAGCCTGTAAAGTAAATACGCCAGTTTACATCTGTTATTATAATTGTCTTTATTATTATGGTGTAGCTGATGGTAAATACTGTTATTCGTTATCATTGTTATCATTATTATCTTCGTTAATCATCACTATGATTATTCTTTAAAGTCTCCCCTCCTAACTAAGGAAGAGAGCAGAATGAAATTTAAAAGATCATTCGAAAGTAAGAAAGCAAGGGAGATATCAAGAAAAAAAAAGAGAAAAAGAAAAGAAAGGAGAAAAGAAATAAAGAAATAAACGCTTGAAAATCAAAGGAAAGCAAGAAAAAATTAAACAAAGGAAATCAACAAAAGAAAGAACACAAAGAAAATCAACAAAAGAAAGAACACAAAGAAAATAGATAAATAAATAAAGAAAATAGATAAATAGATAAAAAGATAAAAAAATAGATAGATAAATAAAATAGATAAATAAATAAAGAAAAACAAAAGAAAGGACGAAAGAAAGCAGGCGAACTCTGTAGTGTGACCTAGACATCTATTTGGGAAAGGGCGAGCGAGAGCTTCATTTCGTGTCGAAGGACCGTCCTAAATAGCCGGGAAAGAGCGGGCGACCGATTCCTTCATGGGAGAGAAAGAGAGAAAGAAAGAAAAAATGGAGAAAGGGAGAGGGAGAGAAAGAAAGAAAAAATGGAGAAAGGGAGAGGGAGAGAAAGAGAGAGAGAAAGAAGGGAAAATGGAGAAGGGGAGAAGAAGAAAGAAGGAAGGGAAAATGGAGAAAGGGAGAGGAGGAGAAAGAGAAAGAAGGAAGGGAAAATGAAGAAAGGGAGAGGGGGAGAAAGAGAAATAAATAAGGAAAAATGGAGAAAGGGAGAAGGGGAGAAAGAGAAAGAAGGAAGGAAAAATGGAGAAAGGGAGAGGGGGAGAAAGAAAGGAAGAAGGGAAAATGGAGAAAAGGAGAGGGAGAGAAAGAGAGAGAGAAAGAAAGAAAAATGGAGAAAGGGAGAGGGGGAGAAAGAAAGGAAGGAAAGTGGAGACAGGGAGAAAGGAAGAAAGAAAAATGGAGAAGGGGAGAAAGAAAGAATTGAGAAAGAGAAAGAAAGAAAACAATTGAGAAAAGGTGAGGGGGAGAAAGAAAGAATTGAGAAAGGGAGAAGGAGAGAAAGAAAGAATTGGGAGAGGGAGAGAAAGAAAGGAGAAAGGGTGAGGGAGGGAGAGAAAGAGAGAATATGTGAGAGTGAAAAGAAATGGAGAAAAAGGAATGGGAGAAAGAGAGAATATCAGAAAGAATGAAAAAATGGAGAAAGAGATAGTGTGAGTAAATGAAAGATCGATATTCAGACAGGAAGACAGATAGACAGACACAGACAGATGGATAAAAACAAACAAACAAAAATATGTATATTTACGTAATAACTGTCTACGATGAAAAGTGAAAAGGAAAAAAATTGGCATGATGCTATTTATGTATAGGTGTGTGTGTGTGTGTGTGTGTGTGTGTGTGTGTGTGTGTGTGTGTGTGTGTGTGTGTGTGTGTGTGTGTGTGTGTGTGTTTTCTATTCTTAGTGTCAAGGGGAACTAATGTAGGCAATTAAGATTCTTTTTCTCCTGATTTCTATTTTAACAACAACACAGCAACGCTTTCGATAATGAATTTGTGTAGGCGCCAAGTTCCCCCCCCCCCCTTCCTCTCTCTCTCTCTCTCTCTCTCTCTCTCTCTCTCTCTCTCTCTCTTTCTCTCTCTCTCTCTCTCTTTCTCTCTCTCTTTCTTTCTCTCTCTCTCTCTCTCTCTCTCTCTCTCTCTCTCTCTCTCTCTCTCTCTCTCTCTCTCTCTCTCTCTCTCTCTCTCTCTCTCTCTCTCTCCTTCTCTCTCCTCTCTCTCCCTCTCTCCCTCCCTCTCTCTCTCTCCCTCCCTCTCTCTCCCTCTCTTTCTCTTCCCATTCCTTGGAACTTGGTGCTTGCAATATAAAACGTTCCATATTAAAATTATCTATATAACTATTTGATCTAATCACAAAACAACTTTTTAAGTACGTTATCATAACTAACAACTAAAAAACGCCAGAATTAGATCATCGTCGCGCGTATATTAGAAGAAAAAAAACGTTATCATAACTAAAAAAAATTAGATTACCGTCATACGTTTATAAGAAGAAAAAAAAACACGAGAAAAAAAAAACATCATAACTCAGAATAAACAAAAAAGTGATCAGGACCAGATCACCGTCACGTAGTTATTTTTAGCCTTTTTATCATCCTTCTAACTCTCTCTTTCTCTCCCCCCCCCTGCAGCTGAACTCTCTGGAGGGCGTGCACAGCGGAGTACCCACCCGTACCACGCCCACTTTGACGCCCACCACCCTCAGGAACATCGAACAGACCTTTTTGGAACTGTCGAGTGTCCCTCAGCCCGAAACACATACAAACCAGGCGGGCTTTGTGCCTCCGCTCGTCCAGCCCACAGCAAGTGAGTTTTTTTTTTTTTTTTTTTTTATTGATTTGAGGGAGTTTGTTTTTTTGTGTTTTTGTTTTTCTTTCCTTTCTACTCCCATGTATATATATAAATATATATATATACATATTTAAATATATGTTTATATGTTTGGATTATATAGATATGTATGTTATATTATATATATATATATATGTATATGTACACACATCTATTACACATACACTTACTTACATGTATATATATTTACATGAACACACATGCACACATATACGTGTATACAAACAGCCAGACAAGTGTGTCTTTACATGTTAACTGTACAATACATACAAACACACACGTCACACAGTAACCATGACTCCCTCTCCGTTTCACTCCCTCCTCCACTCCCCCCCCCCTCCCCTCTATCCGTCTCCCCATCTATCTATCTATCTGTCTATCTATCGACGTCGCCTACTTTCCCGCCGCCGGCCGCCCTCCGTCTGTGGTGGTATGTGGCCGTATTTGGCATGAGGCGAGTCGCGTGCAACCTCCATGCTGTTACAATACCTGGTGGTTATGTGCACCTCGCCTCTCCCAGGCGCCTTCCCTTTTTTGTGGGTCTGTCGGCCGCTGTATGTCTTCTTCTGGTGTTTTCTGGCTTTTTGGGGGGTTTATTTTTTTCGTTTCTCTTTCTTTCTTTCTTTCTTTCTTTCTTTCTTTCTTTCTCTTTCTTTCTCTCTTTCTCTCTTTCTCTCTTTCTCTCTTTCTCTCTTTCTCTCTTCTTCTTCTCTCTCCTCCCTCACATGTATATATAGACAAATAAATAGACAAATATCTGAAAAAACCGTCGGTAGCCAGGGCAGTCCTCACCCCCCCGCCTCTAACCCCCCCTCCTCCTCCTCTTCCTCTCGTCCCCACAGGCAGCACCTACATCTCGGTGGACAGCAAGTGTTGGGGCGGCGGAACACTCACGCCAGGTGCCGGCGCCGACTTCGTCCTCGTCTTCGTCAGCCTCCTCCGCGTCCTCATCCACGGGCGTTGTGCAGGTACGCCCACAGTCGAGTCTCATTTCGGCGAATCCGGGACAGGCGCTGAACATGCCCGCCCAGATCCAGCAGGCCCCCGTCAGGAGGACTGGGGGGCGGAGACCCGTGAAGGACGAGAAGGTAAATTTCGGAGTAAGTGGTTGGCCGTTTGTATTATTATTATTATTATTATCGTTATTATTATTTGTTTTGTTATTCTTTATTAAGGGTTTCTTCCTCTGGTCTGTGGGGGTTTTGTTACGTTTCTTTTTTCTGTCTCTCTCTCTCTCTCTCTCTCTCTCTCTCTCTCTCTCTCTCTCTCTCTCTCTCTCTCTCTCTCTCTCTCTCTCTCTCTTCTCTCTCTCTCTCTCTCTCTCTCTCTCTCTCTCTCTCTCTCTCTATTTCTCCTTCTCTCTCTCTCTCTTGCTTTTCCTCTATTTATAGGTTTCTGTTTTTGTTGGTTTTGTTTGTTTTCATTTTTTTCGGCTCTTTCTTTTTGCACTCTCTTTCTCTTCTCTCTCTCTCTTTCCCTCCCTCTCTCCCTACCCCCCCCTCTCCTTCCCGCCTCCCTCCTTCCCCCTCTCCCTCCCTCCCTCCCCCTCTCTCCCTCCCTCACATGTATATATAGACAAATAAATAGACAAATATCTGAAAAAACCGTCGGTAGCCAGGGCAGTCTCACCCCCCGCCTCTAACCCCCCCTCCTCCTCCTCTTCCTCTCGTCCCCACAGGCAGCACCTACATCTCGGTGGACAGCAAGTGTTGGGGCGGCGGAACACTCACGCAGGTGCCGGCGCCGACTTCGTCCTCGTCTTCGTCAGCCTCCTCCGCGTCCTCATCCACGGGCGTTGTGCAGGTACGCCCACAGTCGAGTCTCATTTCGGCGAATCCGGGACAGGCGCTGAACATGCCCGCCCAGATCCAGCAGGCCCCCGTCAGGAGGACTGGGGGGCGGAGACCCGTGAAGGACGAGAAGGTAAATTTCGGAGTAAGTGGTTGGCCGTTTGTATTATTATTATTATTATTATCGTTATTATTATTTGTTTTGTTATTCTTTATTAAGGTTCTTCCCTCTGGTCTGTGGGGGTTTTGTTACGTTTCTTTTTTTTCTTTTCTTTCTTTCGTTTTGTTCTGGTGTTTCTGTTTCTGTTCTTTTTGTTCATTTGTTTTCTTCTCTTTGATTGTTTTTTTTTTATATTTCTTTGTCATCGCCTTGCTGTTGGGTGGTTTCTTTCTTCACTTTTTTTGTTCACTTCCTCCCTCTGGTCTTCCTCCTCCTCCTCCTCTTCCTCCCCCTCCTCCTCCCCCTCCACCCCTCCCCTTTCTCCTCCTCCTCCTCCTCCTCCTCCTCCTCCTCCTTCCCCCCTCCTCTTCCTCCACCCCTTCCCCTCTCCTTCCCCCTCCCCTTCCTACTCCTACCCCTGCTCCTCCTCCGGCCGCCCTTCCCCCTCCCCCTTCCCCCTCCTCCTCCTCCTCCTCCTCCTCCTCCTCCTCCTCCTCCTCCTCCTCCTCCTCCTCCTCCTCCTCCTCCTTCTCTTGCCCCCCCCCCTCCCCACTTCTCCCTCCCACCCCCTCTCCTCCCGATAACGAACAAGAAATCAAGTATCGTTACACATTATCCACGATCGTCTTAGTCATGCGTTATGCCATGCGGTGACGTCATCAGCCACATGTTTTTGGGGGAGAATTCATTAGGACGAGAGAGATCACGTGACCTTATTATCCGTATGCGCTCAGAGAGGGCGTGGCAATCGGAATATTTACGTATAAGTGTGGCCGATTATGAATTCAAGTAGAACAGGGTTAGGACAGATTTTACACGTGTGTGTGTGAAAAAAAAAAATGATAAAATGTAGTGAGGGAAAGAGAGAGGGAAGGAAGGAAAGAAGGAGAAGGAGAAGGTGGAAGAGGGAGAGAGGTAGTAACAGATAGACACGGAAATAGCGGAAGCGGAAAGGAAGGAAGAATGACACGACAGACGGACAGAGGGAGTGAGGGAGGGAGGGAGAGAAGGAAGGAGGGTGGGAGACGGACAGAGAGAGGGAGGGAGGGAAGGAGGCAAGGAGGGGGGGAGACGCGTCTAATGTATATAACTTGTGATAATCGAGACATTGATAAGCTGGTTCTTGACACGGGTCTGTTGCCGGATGTTTTTTTCCTGTGTTTGGAGAAGAAGAAAGAGATAGATAGATTGATATACATAGAGAGAGAGAGAGAGAGAGAGGTAGAGAGAGAGAGAGAGAGAGAGAGAGAGAGAGAGAGAGAGAGAGAGAGAGAGAGAGAGAGAGAGAGGGAGGGAGGGAGGGAGAGACAAAGGCAGGTAGACAAAGAGAGAGAGAGAGAGAAAGAAAGAAAGAGCAAGATACCGACATACAGAATGATTCATAGACACACAAAAAAATCGTCAAACTCCAAGCGAAAACGGAGACAAGGAAAGAACGAAAGAGACGAAAGAAGAGGGTTGGGGGGGTAGGAGAAGAAGTGGATAAAGCGGCAATGGCCTCGAGTACACATGTACCCGCACGGACGAGGTGTGTCTGTCCGTATCGTCGTAACGAGCCTGACCTTTGTAAACCTCTCACTACGACAATCGTCCACTCGGAATACGCTGTCGTGACGTTGCGGATTTTCAGGGCGGGTGTTCGATTCCGTAGGTGATTTCTGTCATTGAAAAAAAAAATGGGAAAAGATCGGTAATTCGGGGACGTTGCGGATTTTCAGGGCGGGTGTTCGATTCCGTAGATGATTTCTGTAATTGAAAAAAAATGGGAAAAGATCGGTAATTCGGGGACGTTGCGGATTTTCAGGGCGGGTGTTCGATTCCGTAGGTGATTTCTGTAATTAAAAAAAAAGGGAAAAGATCGGTAATTTGGGGACAATGTGGATTTTCAGGGCGGGTGTTCGATTCCGTAGGTGATTTCTGTAATAAAAAAAAATGGAAAAGATCGGTAATTGGATTTTTTTTCTTGTTTGTGGAAAGAATTGGGTGTTCGGTACCGTAGGTGATTTCTGTATTAAAGAAAAATAATTAGAATTGGGTTGAAATTGGGTGTTCGATTCCGTAAAAGAGTTATATATATATATTTTTTTTTCGTTTACTTTTTCTTTTCTTTTTCCTTCAACGTCGGGCATGTAATTCTGTGTTCGTTTCCGTAACTCATTCCTCTTTTGCGTTTTTTCTTTTCTTTTCTTCTTTTTCTTCTTCTATTGCATTATTTTATCTTATCTTTAAACCGGATTTAGGTTCGTTTTTCCCAACCTATTTATCATCCCATTTGCATATAGGGAAAGAAGTCGTAACATCGCCGCTTAACAGATAACAAGTAACAGGTAATAAAATTAGTAACAAGTAACAACAAGTAACACGTAACAGGACAAGTAAGTAACAGGTAACAAACAGGTAGCCAGAGCGGGGTACGTGAAGGTTTGAACTTAATGTATTTGTACAGTAGGTTTTCAGCTCAATGTTTCGTTGTTTTCTCCTCGGAAAAAATATACCAGTGATGATGATAATGATGATAATGTTAATAATAATGATGATGATGATAATGATCTTTCTAACAATACTACTATTACAACTACTGGTTATATTATTTTTTTATAATTTGTAAATACAGTTAGTTATGATGATTTTAACAGCAGCAATGAAAAGAGAAAAAAAACATATACATAAAGGACAGTAAAATAGCTTATATAAAAATCACAGTCATTAATCATGCGCACTCCCATGCACTCGGCGCGTGCTTGCCTGCGTGCTCGGGCAAATAACTTGACATATCCGCTTTATTAAGCCCTTATGTATTTATACTTATCCGCATTTGCCCGAATCTCTTGCTTGATTGACGCCGATGAGATTGAACTTGGAAAGACATACGCCCCCCGCCCCCCCTTTCCCTCTCCCTCTCCCTCCCTCGACCCCTTTACCCATTCCTACTCCCTCTACCCCCTCTACCCCCTCTTCGCCCCCCTCCCCCCCCTCTCCCGGACGGAAGGACGAGGAGCAAACTCCTTTCATCATTTTCTCAAGTGACGCTCGAAGAACTCCTGCCTAAGTACACGTGCACCTACAGCGCTCCCGTTCGGCGCTCGGGTTACGTTCCTCTCTTGGTTGCGAGAGCGAGAGTGCCTTGGTCCCTCCTGGTTGCGTCGGGAGGCTCAGTGTGGTTCGAGTGTGGTTGTGGTGTCACTGGTTGGGACGTTTTGTATTGTTTGGTTCATTCTTTTTTCTTTCTTCTTCTTTTTTTCATCCTCTTCTTCTTTCTTTATTTATCTATTTTTCTAGTAGTAGTAGTAGTTGTAGTATTTTCGTCTCTTCATCATCAGCGTTGTGGATTATTTGAATATGATGTCTTTATCCTGCGTGTGTTTGTACGTGTGCGTGTGTGCGCGCACGTCCGTCCGTCCGTCCGTCCTTCCGGCCTTGTCTGTGTCTGTATGAAAGAGAGAGAGGGAGAGAGAGAGAGAGAGAGAGAGAGAGAGAGAGAGAGAGAGAGAGAGAGAGAGAGAGAAAGGGGGGGGGGAGAGAGAGAGAGAGTTTGTATACACAGACATGCACGTCAGTCACCCGTTCCCTCACCAACGTTTTGTATTCCGGTAACCTTGAGGGAAAACGGTGCATAGCAGTGAAAGAAAAAATAAAAAGTTTTGCTCTCATGAAAATTGAACTTCAACCGAAGAGGGGGGGAAGGGGGGAGGGGAGGGGGGAGCGCCAAAGGGGACGGGGGGTAGAAAGGGGGGTCGGGGGAAGTGACCCTAATGTGTTGATAGACGAATGGTATCATAGCTAAGATAACACGTACGTATCTACCTTCTGAATAGTGTTGTTACGAGACAGATCCGTCGAAAGTGTATGTGTGTGTGTGTGTCTGTGTCTGTGTGTTTGTTTGTGTGTTTATGAATGTGTGTGTGTGTGTGTATGTGTATGTGTGAGTGAGAGTATGTCTGTGTTTGTATATGTTTGTGTGTCGTAGAGTACGGGGGGGGGGGGAGAGAAGGGAGAAGGGTGAAGAGGGGAAGGAAGTGGGGGCAGAAAGAAGGAAGAAGGAAGAAGAGGAAGAGGAAGAGAAGGAGGAGGAGGAGGAGGAGGAGGAGGAGCAACAGATGGAGAAGCAAGAGGGTTAGGGTAAGGGGGTAGGGAGCAGGGGGTGGAGGGTAGGTATTGCTCAGAGGAGTGGGAGGGGTGGGGGTAGAGGGAGGGTATCGTTCATGGGAGTGGGGAGGGGGTAGGGGAGAGGGGGAAGGGTAGGGAGGAGGGGAGGGGAGGGAGGAGGGGGTAAGGGAGAAGAGGAGGAGGGGAGGGGAGGGAGGAGTGGGTAAGGGAGAGGAGGGGAGGGGGGAGGGGTATCTCATGAATCAGTGTCGCGGGTCGGGATGAGTCAGCGAGGACGCCTGACTCATACTCACGCGGAGAGCTTCTGACTTGACTAATTGACTTTGTGCATCCCGTGAACTTTCGAACGTACTGTTTCTCTCTCTCTCTCTCTCTCTCTCTCTCTCTCTCTCTCTCTCTCTCTCTTGTCTTCCTTTCTCTCTCTCTCTCTCTCTTGTCTTCCTTTCTCTCTCTCTCTCTCTCACTCTCTCTCTCTCTCTCTCTCTCTCTCTCTCTCTCTCTCTCTTGTCTTCCTTTCTCTCTCTCTCTCTCTCTCTCTCTTGTCTTCCTTTCTCTCTCTCTCTCTCTCTCTCTCTCTCTCTCTCTCTCTCTCTCTCTCTCTCTCTCTCTCTTATATTCCTTACTCTCTGTGTGTCCTGTTTCTTTTTATTTTTATTTCTTTTGTCTTTTGAGTTCAGAAGTCCTTGTTTGGAAGGAAGAATAAAGGGATTTTGTCTCCGTTCGCTTCTTCCCCTCCCCCCCTTCCCTCCCTTCCCCCCTTCCCCCCTCCCACTCTCCCACTTCTACCCTCAACCCGACCCCCCACCCCTTCCCTCCCTTCGTACCCTACTGCCATGCACTCATGCCCTGTAACCCCCCCCCCCCCCGCTCTCTTTCTCCACGTTGTATCCAGTAATGCAACCACGCTCGCTGGCACGCATCACTTTGCACCAAGCTCTCTTCCTTTCCTCTCCCTTTTCCCTTTCTTCTCTTTCCATCTTCTTATTTTCCCCTTTCCTCTCCTTCCTTCCTTCCTCTTTCCCTTTTATCTCTTTCCCTCCTCCTTTCCCTTTTCTCTCTTTCTTTTTTTACTTTCCTCTCTTTCCTTCCTGCCTTTTCCCTTTTCTCTCCCTTTCCTTTCTCTTTTTTTTTTTCCTTCCCCTTTCTTATCTATCTTTTTCTTTCCTTCCCTCGTGTCTTTCTCTCTCCTTTCTTATTCACTTTCGTTTCTCTGTTCCTGCCTTCTCCTTCCTTTTCTTTTTCCTTTGCATTTCCCTCTGCCTCCTTTTTACCCCCCCCCCCTTCCCTTCACGGCCTTCTCTTCTCCTCTCACTCCACTCTCTCCACCCAGCTGCCTCTCCTCCTGCTCTCCTCCTCCCCACCACCACCTCCCCACCCCTATCTATCTCCCTTATCCCCTCTCCTCCTCCGTCTCCTCTCCTCACCTCTCCTCTCTTCTCCCTTTCCTTTCCCCTCTTCCTTCTCTCTCTCTTCACTCCTCTTTTCTCCCTTTCCTTTCCCCTCCTCCTTCTCCCTCTCCTCACCCCTCCTCTCTTCTCTCTCCTCACCCCTCCTCTCTTCTCTCTCTCCTCACCCCTCCTCTCTTCTCTCTCTCCTCACTCTTCCTCTCTTCTCCCTCTCCTCACTTTTCCTCTCTTCTCCCTCTCCTCACTCCTCCTCTCCCCTTCTCCAATCCCCTCTTTCGTCTTCTTCCTTCGTCGCTTCCACCTCTTTCGCTGTTTATCCCGGTGTAGGTTAACCCAAATTGGTATTTGTACGTTTTCTTCATTATTTTCAATGGTTTGTTTAAGTTGTTTACGTTTTTTTCTTTCCTTTTTTTCTTCTCTTACTTTGTTTATTTATGTGACTTTATATTCATTCGTCTATTTATTAAGTTTATACTTGCTCTCCGTTTCCCAATTATTTTTTATCTCTGTTATCTCTATTTGGTTTTCTTCCTCCCACCTCTCGCTATCTGGCCGGTCCTTTTATACCTGATTGCATTGTGTCGAGAGATCTATTTATACCTGTTCATAACTGTCTGTGTCTCTCTTGAGTTGTGTAACCTATGTTTGTATAGTTATGGGTGAGCACTGTATGTGTGTGTATATACGTACACATAGGCAAGTGCATATAGGTGTACATAATGTATGTAGGTTTTTATGGTAACCTGTGGTTTGGTATATAGAGATACAATGGATATATAGGTAATGGGTAGATACCTGTGTATACACGCATATATGTGTGTATTATTTATTTGTTCGCTGTAATGTATATTATATGCATCTAGCGCATGTGTGGGGAGACTGCGTAACCAGGGCTGACCGTCCCTTTCTCTCCCGCAGCTGTCCCTGGAGGAGGAGGAGCGCCGCTCCCTCCGCCGCGAGCGCAACAAGCTGGCGGCCGCCCGGTGTCGGAAGCGGCGGCTGGACCAGACCAACACCCTGCAGGACGAGACGGACGAGCTCGAGGAGAAGAAGAACGGCCTGCAGCAGGAGATCCAGCTCCTGCAGCAGCAGCGTGACGAGCTCGAGTTCCTCCTGGCCACCCACAAGGCCGTGTGCCGCCGCCGCCAGCAGATGGCGTCCACGACGGCCAACAGCCTCACCAGCGGCACCAACACCACGACCGCCGCCGCCGTCGCCGTCAGCGCCTCCGCCGCTCACTCGGCCCGCCTGCTCAAGAAGGAGATGCTGCTGGAGGAGGAGCCCGCGGTGAAGGAGGAGCCGATGGAGCACGAGGAGGACCTCCGGCGCCCCAAGAGCGAGGGCAGCCTCAACCGGCCCAGCCGACCCACTAGCCTCAACGTAGCGCCCGTGGCCCTCCGCCCCCCCAGCGTGGCCGACCTGGGCGTGCCCATAGAGACGCCCTCGGCGGGACTGCGCGGCCTTAACTTCGAGTCGATGATGGAGGGCGGCACCGGCCTCACGCCCGTCACCAGCGGCACGGGCCTCACGCCCTTGCACACGGGGCTGACGCCGCTGAGCACGCCCGTGGTGTCGGCGCCCGCCGTGTCGAGCGCGTCCAACAACTGCGGCTCGCAGCAGCGCTCGTCGTCCTCGGACCTGTCGTCGCCCGACTCCGTCCCGCCCAAGCTGGTGTCCCTTTGAGGCCCGCGGACCCCCGGCCCCCGCCCACGCCCCCGCCCACACCGCTACGCCCTGAGATCCCTGACGTCTGGGCTGCGCCCATCGACGAATGCGAGTCCCTGACATGCATCCGTCCCTCGTGTCCCCGCGAGACGCCCTCGCGCGCCTCCGTTCCTCGGGCGCAGGGCGGAGGACCTCGCTGCTGGAGTCCTGACCGCTCCCGACGCCCGAGGCGCTTCTCCGGCCCCAAGCTTCGCTCTCACTTCTTCTCTAACATCGGCCTTTTCGTGGATTCGAGTAAAGGAACCGTTTTATCGGAAAACACATCTAGGAAACGCAGTGTTCTTTGTTAACAAAATTCGGCCTTATGAACAAACGTCAGAGAGGTTTCAGTGCTAGGTCTAAATAAAAAAAGCAATATACAAACATATACAGGGAGGTAATAATGATATATTCTTCGTTCATTGTTATTGAGTGTTTTAATGTACCGAAAGATCACATAGTCGATCTTATGCCTTAATGAAGCTAATAATTTTCTTTACTATGCACTCAGAAAAATGTAAAAGCAACTCCTTTTATGCAATTAATATTTCATGAGTTCTCTACGCTATGCACCTATTGACATGCAAAACGTTGCAATGTAGGCAAGACTTCGAGATGCTCTTTGCCTCGTCAGAGAGAAAAGAAAAAAAATGTGTGTTTTTTCTTATCGACTCCTCCTCTGCCTATTTACCTCTGTATGTTATAGCAAAGCTTCACCAAAGACAAGTCACTAATGTAAGTTGCAGGATTTTTTTTTTTTTTTTTTAAGTTTAGATTATATAATTCTGACATTACAAACGAGCTCCGGTTTGTTTGTCGATCTCGAACTCACGCAATCGAGGTGAGGCTGTACTTGACACGCAGACCGAAGCTCCGAAACAAAACTATTTTTTTTTAGTTTTTTGATGGAAATTTCCAGATTGGTCATAAAGAAATTTAAAAAAATTGGAGAGAGACATTATTCAAGTTTACTTTTGTCATTATTCTTGTTATTGTTATTGTTATTATTTTTTATTATTATTATTATTATTATTATTACTGTTACATGGTTATTGTTATCATTATTTTTGTATTTTATCATCATTTTTATGTTAAAGAGATGACGTTTAATAAAAAAAAGAAGAGTTTAGCAACAGACCCCTTGTTCAATGGGCTCAGAATCTTGAAATTTCTTCAGGAAAGAGACTGAGGAAGTGAGGATGGTTATTTTGCCATAATAATTCACCAGTGGAATACAATAATGTTTATATTATGACTAGTCTAGATTTCTTACATTCATATGGTAGGATTACAGTCAAAACTATTTATACCAGAGTATTTAGATAAGATTTTACAAATAAACAGAATTTTAAATCA